CAGAAATGGTTCCCTGATGTACTCAGGCATCAGAACCACCTAGAAAACTTGTTAAAACCTAGACTGTTGAGCTCTGTCTGAGATTCCGAGTTCCCCTTATGATGTTGATACTGCTCATGTAGAGATCACTCTTTGAGGATCAATGGTTAAGAAGAAAATAGACCTCTGATATTGTCAAGTCCTCAGCTTTTTCAAGAAAAACTGAAAATCCAGATTTATATGTGAAATCTCTTGATTTTCCAAAGATTGGCAACAAATTTAAAATTATTTTTAAAACACTTGGTAAGGCAAGCAAAATCTTTAGGGTAGTTTTTAATCTGGCTACTCACAACTCTACCTTAAGGAATGTGGCACACACACACACACAAACACAGATATACACTCTTTTGTGTGGTAAGTGGCACCTTCAGTTTAGCTCCCAGCTTTGGGAGGTCAGGTCAGGCTGTCCTGTCTTGACCAAACAACCCTAATAATTGTTGAACATATATTAAAGATCCTTCATATTTCTTCCCTATATATCATGTGATCTTATTTTGTTCCTGTTACCTTGAAATCTCTGAAAGATACAGCTGTTTAGAAGTGGATCAAGCCCTTATATTAGCCCAACATTCCCAAAGCCTAACAAACTATTTAAGTCTTGCCAAGGAATATTTAAAAGATACTAGTTTCATTTGGATTAATTTTTAAGACATTAGTTCTAAACATCTGCAGCTAAAACATCCTATCTTCATATTTCTAAGGCACAGGGCACTGTGTGGTTTCACATGTTTTGGTTGAACACTTTTCCGGTGTTAGGCAGAGATGCCCAGCCCCTGCCAGCTTTGTGCAGGCCTGGTTCCATAGTACCCAGACTTGGAAAGGAAAGAAGACAACAAGCAGAGAAGAGAAATGTAAACATACATAACTCCAAGTTTCATTTGTTCTATATACAACTGGCATTCCATTAAGAGTTTATTTGAAAAAAAAAGTCACTCTGAATAAAAAATGTGATCATTCCCTTGGACAATAAGTGAACAAATCAAAAAATTTTTGTAGTTCCTTTACTTGGATGGATTAAAACACTCTAAACCATTTGATTTTCTTTACTATGATTTAAACTTTGGAGGCCAATATTTGCAAAATAATCATTTCTGGTATGGAAAAATTTCAGGCTTATGATATGACTCTTATAACCAAACTCTATAAATATATCAAAGAACTTTTTTTCCTTTCGGAACATGGCAGACACTAATTTGTAATAGGCTCTTTGAGCTCAGTGTTACTGGGGTATGTGTATGAAGATATGAAGATATGAATGTGTATGAAGATACTTGCTCTAGGTAGGAAATTCAAATGGTGGTGATTCTAGTGTGCGTTTAGAGAGATAGCTTTAAGTATGACCCACAATTGCTCCACCATATGCTTCCTTTTCCCTAGATTATATGTCAATGTCATGGAGGCAGAGATAGAGATGCCCATGCCATATATGTGTGCCCTAACCCAAACGATGGAAAAGGGATGCCTTAGCAATGCCACAATTAGAGGAAGGAAGTTCCCTGAGGTCTACAGAGATATTACAGGAGCCACTGAAGCTGTTCCCATTGTGTCCAACTTGGAGGGGAAGAAAAAAGCGTTTATTGTTAGCAGAAGATGTCCAGGGGAAAAAAATCATAATTTGTAATGAATCTTTAACCTATTTAAAGTAATTAAAGACCCACTCCATATGTAAGAAGCAAGCCTTTGTCTCTTTACTCTCCTAATTAGTCCCTTCACTGCCTGGGACTGGCTTTTCCTACGGCAGATTTTGTTCTTCTCCTCTGCCTTTTTGATCATTGCAATGCTCACGATGCCTCCTAGAATTTGCTTCCCCAAAATGATGAAAGGGTGTTGCTTTTGGCACACTTCCAACTGTCTCCTTGCTCCACATCAGTTTTTCCCTGCTTCCTTCTGAGCCCCTACCCCAGCTCTTGTGTTTGATGAGTCAGCTCACATCTCTTCCACAGGCTGATAAACCTCTACCTCCTTACATAGAGAATAAAGTAAAAAAGACAAGATACCGATGGCATTTTCAGCCAGGAACTTTAACATGTTAAGAAAAAAAAAAGTCAATTTGTTAATTGCAAAATATTAAAACATAAAAGCTGTATACTTTCCCTTAACTCAGCAAAACCACTTCTAAGAATTTATCCAACATATAAAATCAGAAATGTGCTCAGAGATGTAAATATAACATATTACAGCATTCTGAGAATGTCAAAACCAAAAACAAGCAGAATGTCTATTATTAGGTAATTCTTCAGATAAACTCTGCTATTACCATATAGTGGAAAACTGTTCAGCCATTAAAAAGACGAGGGAAATTCTCTTTGAAGTGATTTGGAATGATCCCTAGGACACGTAGTTAAGTGAGAAAAACAAGGAGTGGAACAGCATATAAGTAAGTATAAAACTATTTTATAATAAAGGACATGTATCTGATATATGTATAGGTAAAAGGCATCAGTTAAGAATATGAGAGAAAACTTGTAGAAGGGTTGTTTTCTGAAAAATGAAACAGACCCGCATCTGCAAAGGTGTCTCCATTACTATTCTCTCATTGGTGAGACAAAATACCTGACACCTAAAGTTAAGGAAGGAACGATTTTGTTTATCTTACCGTTTGTGGAGGCTTCAGTCCATAATCAGCTGGCTCCAGGGCAAAGTGGCACACAGCAGAGGGCAACAGTTCATGGCAGTAGAAAACAGCACCAGCAACAAGAGTAAAAGGGGAGGAGCATGGAGAGAAGACTCTATTCCTTATATTGTATGCAGATCACATCCGTAATCCCAGCATTGGTCCATGAGTCATTCACAAACTCTAGAAGTCCACCTTCATGACTGCCCGGGGTTTGGGGGTGACATTCAAACACAAATCATAATAAGGGGGTGTGGAGGAGAGGCTTCCATTTTAACTTTTAAATTGTTTAAATTTTGAGCCATGTGTGATACTCCCAGAGAAGCAAATAAGTTCATTGATAATTAGTATGTATGGTCTTTATAAGGCAACATCATAACAAAAACTTTCTCCCACGATGGTGGAGCCAAGTTTGATCTCTATAAGTCTAATTCTCTGCATTACATTTTACAATATTTCTGATAAAAATCCTTCAAATGACTCAACAACTTGCTGAAAGCCTAACACAATGTTTGACATACCATGCATACAAAATGAGGATCTCAGTCTGAGTTCCCTAAAAACTATGGCCTGAAATTAAGTATTGATTCTTTATTTGGAAGGCCCAGCCAAGAGAAAAGGAAGCAAGGCAGGGAAATATGGAAGAAATCCTATTGGTAGGTAGTACCTTGCCACATGGGCCATAGTTCCCAGAGAAGCCTTGACAAGGCTGCTGGCTGCCTGGCAGATGGGGCATATCCAGGTATGCTTTGCAGAGAAACCAGTCTCAGGAAGCCCATCAGAAAGAAAAGAGGAAAAAAAGGGACTCTATCAGCTCACGCCATCTCCATTGTTCAAGGTTTGCTCCACAGGGAGTTACAGCCCCTACACTCTGGACCACATTGTCTGGCCCCTTCAGCAGCCACATCCAAGTCCAGAATTAATGAGAGAAAATAAAGAATCTGAGCCAACAGCCTTCTGCCCTGGGCAACTGGACCACATGGGTATGTAGTAACTCTGGTATTGCAGCAGCTCAGACAAAGCAGATGAGTCAGAATCCAGCAGGCAGGTTAGGCCAAAAGAATCCAATGACTTCTGTAAGATGTGTCTTCTGTAGTAAGAAAGAGCCTTTTTGCCTATAAGTAGTTTTACCTAAGGGAAAAACTGACAAACCTAATAAATGGAAATACCAGGTGCTTTTAAAGAGACACTATATTAGTTAATGTTCACTGTATAAAGTTCTACTCTGAAAGTAGAAAATTAAAATGAGAACCAATTTAGTATGGTTCACAAGTCTGCGTACTGATTGGCAGCTAGATGAACTAGAATCACATCACTCTGTTATCACTCTGTTACTTGGAGGTGAGAAATGCTTGTTGGCTGCCCATGATAGGGTCTCTCATCTTGTGCTAGGCTGGCCCATGCTTCTTCACGTGGTAGATGGTAGTAGTCACAAATTTCCAAAGAGTCACAAATTTCCAAAGGGTAGCAAGAAAGAGCAAGACCCAACACACTAGCTCTTTTTGAATCTTCCCTTATATCACAGTTACTAACGTCCCATTGATGAAAACAAGTCATGCAAAGAAGGCCTAATTCAAGTGTTTTACGTATTTTTCTCATTGCTGCGACAAAATACCCAATACTCAAAGTTAAAGGAGGAAATGTTTATTTAGCTCACAGCTTGCAGTGGTTTCAGTCCATAATCTGCTGGCTGCAAAAGCAGGGTGGCTCTGCAGAGGAGAACAGTTCATGGCGGGCAGAAGATAGCAAAATCAACAGCTGACCTTTAACTGTATCATCCTGCCCCTTTTATTTTATTTAGGTTTCCAAGATTAGGAAACCAGGATTAGGTACCAAACCAATCAAGGATTGCACTCCCTTAATGCCAGCAACACACACTCTGATTCAGCCATCTCTAAAAGTCCTGCTTCTTCCATGACTACAAGGTGGGAGGGAAGGGGAGGAAGAGGGGAGACACAAACCATAACAAGGGACATCACAGAGAAGAAACAGCTCATAGCAGGCAGCAAGCAGCAAGTAATAACAGCAGCCCTCTTTCTATTTCTTACAGACAGGTTGCATGCCCTTAGGGAATGTGGCACTCACAGCCAAGGTGGGCCTTCTAATTATCCACTCTCAGAACTGTGCCAAACCAAGCAGTGGATTACTTTAGTAATCACACACCCTTAATCTCAGCATCACACACTCAGGTTACAGATACCTCTGAAAAAGATCTAGCTATGAACATATGAGGCTTGGAAGGACATCTAAATACAAGCCATAACATTAATGTACCATTGACCAAAAAAAGTCACACAGAGTAGGCCTAATTCAAGGAATGAGAAGATAGAGTCTACTTATGAACAGGAGGTAGCAAAGTTATATTATAAAACATTACATATACAAGGTTGGGGGCAATGTATGGTTATTTTATTTTATTTTATTCCAGGAATCAATCTCAGGACCTCGTGCTTGCCAGGCAGGCACTTATGCCACTGATCTATATCCCCGCCCCATGTATGGTTATTTTACAATTTACCAAAGCTCACCAAATACCCCAATAATGAGGAAAACTCTCTTTCTTAAGCAGAAGAAAACCATCTTCTAATCATCATTGGCACTGGTGAGTCAGTTTCCTATTGACTGATTTCTTGGGGTGTTTTCACAGGGGCAGAAATCCTAAGATTGCAGGCAACTCTCATCCTTCTTCACAAGACCTTGAAAATTCACAATTCAGTTATTCAAGCAGATGTTTGAAACACATGACCTCATGCTGAACTCCCTAGCAATAAAGAGTTTACAGGATGATTATTTACATCAGTATTATTACTTATGCTCATTCTCACTGATGGGATAACTAACATTATGGCAAATTTGTGCAGTTTTATGAGAAATCTATTGTCAGCCAAAAAGACTAAACACCATTGCTGCTAAGGACATCGCTCCCGTTCACTTGATCAGGAGAAAATGAGAGTTCGTTGTTATTGGGTTGTGTTATTGTTATTTGTTTTTTGGTACACCGATAGTTAGGCAAAGACCTCAACTTTACTGTCAACCTGAGAAGGCTTTTAAGGTTAACATTTTAAAATTTCTTTCTTCAAGGCACTAATTTTTTTTTCCGATCAAGATAAACTGCTTCAAGGTATTCAAATCAGAAAGTGCCATGTTCTGAGCACTAAGATACCCATATATTGGCTTATTAAGTCACAGAAGATGTGTCTTATTCTTAACAACCCTATTATTATCCACTTGAAAAAAGAACATTTATTAAACAATTGTTTTAAGCAATCACTTAATTGCTATTACTAAAATGATACAAAATTTAGAGCACTATGGAAAAGACCACTCTAAGGCAGAGTTATCTAAATAACTGATGCTGTTTGTTGCATCTTTAGATCTTTGGCTTTGGGCAGAATAATTTTGCCACAAGTCTCTAGTTTTGAAATATTTCCTAAGGAAGTTTTTTCAAAATCTATATTACCTAGTGATTATATCACAATAACCATTAAAGAAATGAGGCCAAATGCAAATTCACAGGCCCTTGCTGCTGTTCAGAAGATGTACAATTAAGGCACAATATGCTATTTTAACAAACTTTTAGCATATTCACTAAAATTCAAACAAACTTGTCTTGGATTAGTCAATGACTCTAGTAAGTTGTCAGATTTTTAGGAAAAGTTCATGTCAAAATGTGGTGAAATTTCATATGAACATTTGCTTATAGATGTTTGTAAGATAAATCTTTTATTCACTGCTAAAACATTGTCAAATTATTGAGTACTATTTCTTGAATTTTTTCCCCCTTAATCTAAGTGACAAAAATAAAAGCACACTCTTACTACTGCATTTGAAGTGGATTCCTTTCAAACTGGTACTTTGGTTTATAAATTCTCTTTCTTATGGAATAGAAATTGTCTATCTTCTTTGGCATCTTGTCCTTGATCAGTCACTTGATCTTTGGTCAGTAGGTCTTTGAATAACTTCATGCAGTTTTCTTTTACATATGTGATCACAAACTTAGATCAAAGGCCATCAAATCCAATTGTACATTGTAATTACCTTGGGATCTTACCTCAAGTCAACTGTTCTAAAACTTAAGAATATATATATTTTATGGCTTTCCCAAGTACTTTATAAACATTATCAGATTTGGTAATGCACTTTCAATCCAATATTATTCTAAAAGTTTAATTCTAAAAATCATATGTGATAACCTTATAACAAGATGATTTATAGCAATAAAATTCTCCAATAAAGTTTTGGCTCCTATAGCCACTCCAGGGTCCAAACACAGAAAGTTATAGCCAACAAAATGAATATAGCCCAAAATTGCAAATTAATTTCTTGTATATTCTTCCCAACTTAAATTCACATTCCATAAGGAATATTAAACAGAAATAAGATGTTGTTTTCTAGAACTCTAACAATAATACTATCTTCTTGTGAGGGCACCAGGCATATAACCATGTCACCCGGGTTCAACTCGCTAGTAACCCATTTACTATTTCAATTAAATTGGGAAAGTACTGGAACTCTTTCAGACATTTCTTTACCTGTAAAATGAAGATTGTAATTGTAAACTTAGGACGTATTAGGTATCTTTTGGTTGCCAGAATCAAAAAATCCAAATCAACTTAAATGATGAAGGGAAGCTATTGACTGACAAATCTAAAAGTAGTTTATGATTTCAGGCTTCATCTAGCTGCTCAGTGAAATCAGCAAGTATCCAGTTTTTTCTCTTTTTCTTTACCAGCTCCTTTGTTGTTACTTTGTTTTAATTTTCCCTGAGACTGATTCTCCTAAGCAGTTCCCATGCTTCTACAGTCATATTTATTTATCATGAAGAATCTGTCTCTCCAGGTATTTCCACAGAGGACTCAGAATTTCAGAGCAAATCTCTTCTGCAAGTTAATTGGTTCAAACAGGGTAATATGACCATCTCTGACCTAATCATCATCTCTAGGAGAATGGGATTTGCTGACTGGTTTCAATCCAGCAGAGTCTATTCTATACATGAGGATAGAAACAATTTCCCCAAAATTCAGAAGATATGCATGGGAAGCCAATGAAAATCTAAGGATTATTGTTAATAAGAAGAGAGAGAAAATCTAGGTGACCAGAACCAAAGAGTGCTCATTACCTTTTAAACAGGAATTTGCAAGATAACATAAAGTAACCTGCATAAAGATTACATAAAGTAATCTTTAATGGGTGACACATGGCAAACACTCAAAAAAGTTTACTGTGATTATTACCATTATTAGTACTACTGTCAGTATCAATTAATTGGCCAAATGCATGGCAATGCTATTAAGACCTGAATATTACCCAGAGAATGGAAGCATATGCTTCCCATTTGTGGAAATGAAAGAAGGGATGTTATGCTCAAACCCCAATGAAGCATGTTTTTCTTAACCACATGTGGTTAAGAGCACAGGGCTCAGCATGACAAGATATGGAAAGTCTAGGAAAAATCTATAGCTTGGCATTGCTGATAAAGCTATGCTTAACTATGAGAAAGGATACCTTCGTGGCACCTCTAGATATGCCACTATGAGTTCATTTGTCATGGCTACAACTCTGTAACTACCCTGAAAACAAGAACCACACCATAGAGACCTGTGTTAACTTTTACATCCTATTCTTCAGTCAAAGAAGATAAAGAACTGATCCAAACTCTAATGTCTGAAATGTATTGCCTTTCTTAAATATTCCCTTCCACCAGAGTGAAAATATAAAGTGGTAGAAGGAAGAAACCAGGGGGAAATTTTTTTATGTTTGGGATTTTTATCTATCATTTTTATTTTAAAACAAAAAAAGAATAAAAATGATACAGAATTTCAAACACATAGGATATTAACAACAGTTAATATATTGTATATTGCTACCATCAAAGTAGTTGCTCAGATTACAAATACAGGCATGAAAAAATAAACAGTGAAAGCAAAAGCCATTCTTTTTGATGAACAGAGATTAGTAGTCTGTATTGAACATATGTTTATCTCCAAATACAATTAGTAGCATATCATCTTTCATGATACCTATGTATTTACTCCTTACACATTTCAAACTTAATATTGTGTTCTCCTTAACTTTCTCAGCAGCATAGTAAGGCAGATATGGCATACTTTGAAATTAATTTGGTGTGGAGAAGCCAATGTTAGAACCCAACCTAGTCTTTTATGATTCCTAAATCTTTTGTCTTTTAATGAATGTTCAGTGTTAGAGAAGTGTAGTTACTATAACAGAAGTTAAAGTGCCTAAGAAAATCAGAATCTCATCTTTGGGGAACAAGAGTAGACACAAGGGGGAAATGTGGACAAGTTGTTTTTAAGCATTCAGGTCCAAACATTCTATTTAGAAAGGAAGAAATAAAGTAAGTCTAAAATTATATTCATCTAGAAAAAGTAAGGATTCTCATTGGATTGCCTGGATCCCTGGATTGCCTGGAGAATGTGCATCTACACATTCTCTCCTCTGATCAGCTAGGACCTGTTTTTCCTAGAAGAGCCATAACTTGTTGATGAAGTGTGAATTATATTTTCTGCAATTCTGCTAACCGTGACAGGGCCCTAGGGTACACACTCCATCAATCATTTACTTGTGTTGAAAAAGAGAGCATCTAAAAGGAAACAATCCTGGGGTCTGTTGCTGGCACCCTCAAGGTCTTATCACAAAAAATCTTTCCATTTCTCTGTGCCTTTGTCCTATCTGCCACAAAATGAGGCACCTTTCTCACCCAAGAAACCATTTCCAAACATAATATCCAAAGCAGTGCTCCTCAGCTAGGTATATAATTAGAGAATCCAAGGAGACTTAAGAATTTAAATGCTATGGCCTCACTATAGAACCCTTATGAAATAAATTGAAATCTCTAAGGGAGAAACACACACACACATACTCTAAAGGCATTTCTAGTAAACATATCTCTGTCCCTGGTATATATTAGTACAATGTAATGTGAAATGTACATTCCATAAAAGGTAAACTCTATATGTTTTTATTTAACTCCCCTTAAAAATGAGCCAGCCTGATTTTAAATTATTTTATTTTATTATCTCCTTAAAATTGCTAATAACAAATAAATACCATAAATGGAAAAAATCTTAAAATTAAATCCTATATAACAAGATAAAAGCAATCATAGAACAGATGTACCTTATTTACATATTGCCAATAAGGTCATATATCTGTCATAGAAGTAATATCACTTTATAAATGAAGAAAACAAGTAGTCTACATTTGCTCTTACTAGAATAAAGAAATTAAGACAGGCAGACTTTTAAAAAGTCATATTCCTTTCATTAGAAAGAGAAACCTGCAAATACCAATGAAAGCAAAAAACTTTTGGGCATTAAATCTGACCTCCTGATTTAATTCATATAGATAGTAATCAACATAGAACTATGTTTTAAAAATTTTTTGCAAGATATGAGATGAGATAATTCTATTTCATAAAGGCTTTATCTGAATTATAATAAAATAAGAACCCCAAAATGGAAGAGGGATAGAAATCTTTATTAACATTACTTAATTAACCATGTGCTATACTATATATCAGAAATTGTGTATCTATATAAACAGTCTATCTTTTGGCCAGGACTAAATTATCCATACCAGAGTTTACACAAATGAGAAACAGATAAACCATAAAAGTCAAATAACTACAGGTAAATACATGTTGATATATGTTTCTACAATGAAAACTTTCCTACATTTTCCCAAAAGATGTTCTTTATAGTCAATACTTTACTAAGCTTCTTATATTATAAGGGAGAAAGTCTTAGAGAAGAATAGAGACATTGCTTGTACCATTCACTTCATCAGTTAAAAACAAAAAAGCAGCAAGGGTAAATTCAATATATTGCAAACATTCATCACCACGCACTGGTATGATTATTCATTCTTCTCTTTGGTCAACTAATCACTGTGTTTTACTGTTCACATTTACCTAGCAAGAACTAAACAAACATGAAGGAGCAGACACAAATCAAAGACAACTGAAGAAAAGCAGAAAAATGTGACATTGTTGGAACAAAGAAAAGAACATTATTAATCTAATTAAAACTAGGGCAGCTTTTCCCTAAGTTTGTTCACTGGAACCCTAATCTCCTGAGAGGCTTTACTAATAATAGTTTCTGTGGCCAAGTAGGTTTAAGGAACAGCATTCTATGCCTATTCACATCCTGTGCAGATTAATACTGTACATTCATATAAGAAGACTCTTCGAAGCCCTTCAGACACTGATGTATTTGGTTCAAACTAAGTTACTCACCAGATATGGAAACTTGTGCATTTCTGGCATCCATAAATAGCTCACAGTACTAGAGATCCACAGAGCATCTAGAACTTCTGGAAGCATCAATATAAGACTGGCAGTTGAAGGTGCCTTAAAAAAAAAAAAAGATGCCTCAAACATAGATTGTAGAAAGAATTCTCATAGTTTTTTTTGGATTTTTTTTGGCTTTTTTTCGTTTTTATTGGTACCAGGGATCAAACCCACGACTGCCTGCTTTCAAGGCAGGTGCTTATGCCGCTGAGCTAAATCCCCAGCCCCCTCATAGTTTTAATTCCTGCAGCAGACAAGGCCACATATGTGGATGGTACCGCTGTGTCTTCAAATTCAATTCCATTCATGAGATGAATAATCATCAAAAATTCAACAATTCTCAATATGAATTCAATTAACAAAAAAGACAAAAGATGACAAACTAACATTATTCTCCAGCTACTTTAATAAAAAGTAAAATATATTTGGCCACACCTCCTAGAAAAGTTAAAAGTATTAATATAGATGTCACAGCTAATTTCAAATTCTTAGGGGAAATTCTAGTAAATAAACATTATTATGATTATTATTATTGCTATTCAGATACTATGAAAAACTTCAGAAAACATGAACTTTCACTACTCTGTGAAGTATTTTGGAAAGATAAAAGAATATGAATATGAAGAATTAGTATGAAAACAAGAACAAAGTGAAGAGGAAATGCCCTAACTGTGCTAAGGAGGGACGCAGTGAATCCTCATCCACTCAGGAAGGAGCAATGCTGCAGAGATCATTAGGGAGGCATCCCAAGACCCACTTTAGTGGGGGCTTTTGCAGTGTTCTGCTATCTTTTCATTCAATGTAAGCGATCTTGCTATGGTTTGGATATCAAATGTTGCCTTAAAGGCTCACGTATTAGGAGCTTGGTCCTTGATATGGCAGTGTTCGGAGGTGGGGCAGTGACAGGTGAGTGGATCATAAAACTCTAATTGCATCACTGCTAATCCCTTGATTCACTCCTACCTATTCAGAGGGGGCTCAGTTGAAAGAAGTAAGTCCTTCCCGCTAAGCTCACAGGAAGACTGGTGACTAATTCTGGGAATAATATAATTCTTAGAAACTCTTTCTCAGAGCAGATTTCTCTGAAGCAAACAAAGGTGGAGAGGAAGCTGACTGATTCCCACGTGGGCAACACTTAGACTAGAGGAATTTGCCTTTGGCGCTGTGAAGTAATGACCACTTGCCCAGTGGGGCCATGCCTTTGAAAGGTACATCTTATCCCCAGCCTCTTCTGTTACCTCTTTTTCTTTTACTCTGCTCTCTGGCTCTCTTGCTCTTGCTTTTCTTCTTGCTCTATTTTTCCTCTTTCTGGTTGCTAGGTGATGAGCAGTTTTTCTCCACACCCCCTTCTGCCATGATGATAGATCCTCACTATAGATCCTCCAAGAGAATGGAGCCAGATGACCATCAATCTCTAGAACCAGGAGCCAAAATAAATCTTCCTTCTCTTAGGCTGATTTCCTTGGGAATTTTGTCACACTGGTGGAAGTCAGCACAAACCTGAATATGGGAGATGTTGCACAATACATTAGTCCGTGGTGCTTTCCAGCACTGTCATTATCAAATCTCTATTTTCTTAGTAAGCCAAAACAAGAATAAGTTAATAAAAGGTTAAGAATTTCCTGAACTCATACATAACTAATCAAGAGCAAGCCAAGGATTTGCATCTGATGAATTAGGGGTATGCGCCCAGGTGGGGTGGGTGGTGAGAAGACTCCAGAAGTGAAGCAGAACAAACCTTGACTTACAATTTAACTGAGGAGGTAGTGGGGAGGGGTCAACAGAAAAGACAGTACGTGTGAGTGGGATGAAGTTTTTCTATTTAATCCCTTGGAAATGGAACACCTAAGAACAACCACTGAATGGACTTTGTTTCTCTATTTACTAGTGAAGAAATTTATTTTGTCTATTTTCTATACCAATAGATTTTAAGCGTTTTAGATATAACCCTTACAGTTTCCACTATTTGCAAAATTAGAAACCTTTTGCTTAATGTGAGACAAAATGCTATTCAAAATACAATAAAATTTAGCTGTGTTACTAAAAAGCTCAATGGTCACTGACCCAGCTAATGCTACGAGTTCATGGCTCAAATCGTATTATTAACTCTCTGTCTCTGTCTCTCTCCCTGCCTCACTCAGCCCTCTCTTTGTCACTCTCTTTCTTTCCCTTTTGTTCCCTCCCCACCCTTGCTCTGCCAACTGTTTTTATTTCTATTTCAAGATTTCTATGGGTGCACTTTCCTCTGTGTTGGTATTATTTTCAAACAGGCTGTCTTGACTGGAGATATCAGAGAATTTGTGCTCTTGACTCTGCTGTCCCCTGGCTATTAATCCAAGTGAAAACAGACCTTGTCTCTTCCCAAAATACTAATGATGGTTGTAGCACTGGGTTCCATCACACCAACTTAAGAAACTTGCTCTCTATAGCAAATGCAGTTGCCCAGGAAATAAGATCTACTGACTGACCAGCTGTGCTCCCGTGGAGTTGAGAGCCATCTCTCTCAAGGCAAGCGCCTCCCAAAGCTATGGCGAAAGTCATAAAAGCAGAGAGGGATTCTCTTCAAAGGAAAGAGCAGCAAATAACAGAGTTCCACTGCAGAAGACATAGTCACTTTAAAATTAAATGAGCCTTAAATTTAAGCAATTTGGGCCTTGATATTGGCTATCAAAACATATGTAAAGACACTGAACATATAAAAGAGAGAAAAGTGATTTGTTCTCCTTGGATGGTACAGAAGTCATTACGCTAGTGTTCATGGAGGAATTCTTTTGAACTGGGCTTGAAGGAGGGAAAAAGTATGACAATCAGTACTCATTGAATATGCATGCACTTGTTGGTTGTACTATTAGTCTGTAATGATGTGACAAGTTGTGACCAGTGAGGTTTGAAGGAAAGTGATGTTTGCAGTTAAAAGTTGTTAAAAGCCCATATGCCTTCTCCATTTTTCTTTTGCCTTTTGGCAAGGTGTGTGTTGTGATTTATAAATAACATGAATTTGTTTCTCACTAATTTGGAGTCTGAAAACTTCAAGATCAAGTTGCTCATCTGGCTACAGCCGCTCTTTGCAATACAGCCCGTTGGCCTCACTCTCTGGAGGAGAGAATGTCACATCCTCACATGATGAAAAAGGGTATATGAGAGACCACTCCCTTCAACTTCAAACTCTTTTATAACACAGGTGCTTTTTTTAAATTCTTTATATGTTTTAGACAAAAGTCCTTTGTCTGAGGAGTTCACTAAGATCTTTTCCCAATTTGTGGGTTTTCTTTTCACTATGCTGGAGATTTTTTTTGACTTACAGAAACTTTTTAATAAGAGGTGGTCCCAGTTATTGATTCTGGGAAGTATTTCCCGTGCAGTTTGAGTCCTGTTCATGAATTCTCTACCTAACCCTATGTCTTCAAGGTTTCTACCTACTTTGTCTTCCAATAGATTTAGTGTTTCTGTTTTAATATTCAGATCTTTGATCCATTTAGATTTTAATTTAGTACATGGTGATAGGCTTGGGTCGAGTTTTAGTTTTCGGCGAATGTAGAGCCAGTTTTTCCAGCACCATTTATTAAAAAGACTGTCGTTCTTCCAGTGAACCTGTTTTGCCCCTTGATCAAAGATAAGGTGGTTGAGTGTGTTTGTAGTTGTGGTTGTATCTTCTAATCTATTCCATTGATCTTTGGCTCTGTTTTGATTCCAGTACCATGTTGATTTTATCACTGTTGCTTTGTAGTATAACTTCAAGTCAGGGGTTGTGATGCCTCCTGCCTTGCCTTTGTTGCTTAGAATTGCCTTTGATATTCTAGGTCTCTTCTGGTTCCAGATGAACCTTAGACCCAATCCAAAAATGGGCATCTGAGATGAATACACACTTCTCAGAGGAAGAAATACAAATGGCAAATAAATACATGAAAAAATGTTCATCATCATTGGTTATTAGGGAAATGCAAATTAAAACCACACTGAGATTCCATCTCACTCCTGAAAGGATGGCCAGGATCAAGAAAACCAACAGCAAGTGCTGGAGAGGCTGTGGGGAGAAAGGAACTCTCCTACACTGTCAGTGGGAGTGTAGACTGGTACAGCCATTGTGGAGGTCAGTCTGGAGATTTCTCAGAAAGCTGGGATTGGAAGTCCCATTTGTTCCAGCTATTCCACTTCTAGGCATATTCCCAGAAGAACTGAAAATGTCATACCACAGTGATATATGTGCACCCATGTTTATAGCAGCACATTTTGTAATCCCCAGATCTTGGAAACAACCCAAATGTCCATCAACTGAGGAATGGATAAAAAAGCTGTGGTATTTCTATACAATGGAGTACTACTCAGCTATAAAGAAGGATCACATTGAGGTATTTATCAATAAATGGGCACAGCTTGAAACCATACTCATAAGTGAACTAAATCAAACTCGCATCTGTGAACACCAAATAGTTTCCCTAGTGTAGGAAATGATTCAAATATATAAAAGTATGTGATAACCATGATTCCCCATTATGTGGCCTTGAAGCCTTATAAAATTTTCACTCATTAATTGGAATGGCTTTATTCTGGGCTGTTTGATATTATGGCCTGTGATGCAATGAACAGCTGCTTGGAAGAAAATAAGACATAATAATAGCTAGTGCTGATTTAATACCATCTTGTCTTAAAGCCGCACCAAACTATGGCTCTTCTGTCTCCATTGATTTTATCATGTTGTAACTTGCTGGATTTTATTGTATTTGGTAGTATAAACAAAAATTGTTATAGGCAAAGAGATAATATAGAAACCATTGATCATTTTTTCTGTTAGCTGGTTCTAAATACTCTACAATGCTTTCATCCCTTTGAATGGTGTTACACAGTCTTGATATGTTTGATGCTATAGCATATGACATTATATTCAAATATTTCAAAGAAAAAGACACTATGGTAACTACTATTAAGTCGGGTTATTTGGTGGTGAAGCACTAGGTTGCTGAAAGTGTCATGCTTTAACCTGTATTGTTATGTTGTTATGCCCCCTTTATCTCATCCTCTCCCTTATTCATTAAAAAATTATTTAATTAAAAAAAAAGAATAGATGCATGCTTCCATAAAACCGATCAGCAGTTTACGAGAACTGGTCTTATGACACATGATGAAATGAACAAATACTTTGAAGGGAAAAAAAGGCACTACAGTACTCAGGGCTGATTCCATAGTGTCATGATGTGAAATCCAGCAATACTATTAATCTTTGATCACAGTGATTTTAATCTGCCTTGGTTTGTTTAAACTCAACATAAGTGAAGATATGGATAAATGCATACAAGTTTAAGTGTATAGGATTGATAGCCATATTACTTAGTTTTTATTAGATACTTGAACAGAACTATTTGCAGTCTCCCTTTTTGAATTCCCTTTTAAATGTTCCACTTTTGTATCTTGAGCAATTATTTATAAGTGGAGAATATGTAAATACAAACTAGTGATTTATTACTGTTCAATATTTTCTTTGAAAGTATGTACTATTTCTACTTATTTTCTGTTGTTTTGTCTTTCTTTAAATAAAAATAAATTTAAAAAAAAATAAAATATAACACAGGTACTAATTCTATTCATAAGGCAGAGCACTCATGATTTAATAACCACCCAAAGACTACATCTCTTAAAACTGTTGCACCAGATATTTTGTTTTTACATAAATTTTAAAAGGAATGTCATCATTCAATTTTTAAGAGTGGTTTATTTTATTTGGTTGGATGTTTTCTTCATTGGCTAGAGCTATGTAAAATATCTCTCCAAAAGGCTTAGAACCATAATGCTTTATCCCTTAAATATCTGAAGCTTGACTGGGGATTGGTTGACCTAAGCAGTGTTTCTCTATGTCTTTCTTTCTTGTTAGTAAGTAGATTGTTTAGGCAATTCTTTTAATGAGCAAAAATGAACATGCACTAGGACCCAAGACCAGTACTGTCAGACTAAGACCCAGACCAGTACTGTCATTTCTATCCTCCTGCTGCTAGCCAAGCAAAGTCACATACCTAAGCACAAAGTCAAGGAAGGGAGAAATGTGTTCTATGCATGACAAAAGCACAAAATGGTGTGAATCTTGGAAAAAAAAAAAAGACTTAGAACCAAATAATTCCCTCTACTTTTTTAGGAATTTTGTATTGTGGGAACTCATACAGCCTTAAGAAGATTATCTTTGTCTATGTCAAGATAATTCTGTACACTAATGAAATCAAAATAACCACAACTTGCAGAATTTTCATTTTGGAAACTTAAAAGTTATAACTGTCTCTCAATCTCTATACTTCTCTGTCCATCAACAGGCTATGTCAACATTATGGACCCCTATAGATCAGGAATATATCTTTATTACCTTGGTGGTAAGCAAGGAGATGTAAATAGGCCATAAGGAAAGCTGCTTTTTCATTTGCACTACTTCATTCGTTTTGTATTTATAAGATATATGGCCTCGGAAAGCTATAAATAAGAGGCTAGAAACAGCTTGAGGGGCTGATGATGGA